ATTATAGACCTTATTCAGTTGTCATCACTTTTTACATACTTTTGATTTTGTGTGTGCATGTAGCTCTATACAATTTTACCTCATGTTTAGATTTGTACAACCCCCACCACAGTCAATATATAAAACTGTTCAGTTATCTCAGATGGCTCAGATCGTAAAGAATTTGCCTGCAATGTAGGAGACCCGGGTAAGATCCCTGGATCAGGAAGATCCCCTGGAGAAGGGAATGACGACCCACTTCAGTCTGGAGAATTTCATGGCAGAGGAGCCTGGCAGGCTACAGTCCCGAGTCTCAAAGGGTCAAATAGGACTGAGTGACTAACACTTTCAGTTATCTCAAAAGTGCTCCCTTGTGCTACCCCTTTGTATTCTCAGCCCCCAGCTCCATCCTTACACCCTGGCAACAATTAATCTCTTCTCAATCTCTATAGTTTGGCATTTATATAAATGGAATCCTATAATATGTAACCTTTGGGGATTGACTTTTTTCACTAAGTGAAATGCCCTTGGAGGTCCATCCTAGTCACTGTATTAATAGTTTGTTCCTTTTTATTGCTGAGTAGTATTCTACTGGATGGATGTACCAGAGTTTATTTATCCAGTTGCTAATTGAAGGACATTTGGGTTGTTTCCTGCTTTTGCTATTATCAATAAACCTGCTCTGATTATTCATATACAGGATTTTTTAATCTTTTTTTTCCATTTATTTTTATTAGTTGGAGGCTAATTACTTTACAATATTGTAGTGGTTTTTGCCATACATTGACATGAATCAGCCATGGATTTACATGTATTCCGCATCCCAATCCCCCCTCCCACCTCCCTCTCCACGCCATCCCTCTGGGTCTTCCCAGTGCACCAGCCCCGAGGGTAATTACTTTACAATATTATGATGGTTTCTGCCATACAGCAACATGAATCAACCATAGCTATGTATATGTCCCCTCCCTCTTTAACCTCTCTCCCCCCTCCCTCCCCACCCCACCCCTCTAGGTTGTCACAGAGCACCTGATTTGAGCTCCCTGTGTCATACAGCAAAATCCCACTAGCTATCTATTTTACATATAGTAATATATATGTTTCAATGCTACTTTCTTAAATCATCCCCCTCTCTCTCCCTCACTGTGTCTAAAAGTCTGTTCTCTATGTCTGCATCTCCATTGCTTCCCTGTAGATAGGTTTATCTGCACCATATTTCTAGATTTCATATATATATATATATATATATTAATACATGATATTTGTCTTTCTTCTCCTTACTTACTTCACTTTGCATAATAGGTTCTATGTTCATCTACCTCATTAGAACTGACTCAAGTGCGTTCTTTTTTATAGCTGAGTAATATTGCATTGTGTATACGCACCACAGCTTCTTCTCATTTCTCTGAGATAGATGCTCAAGAGTTTACTTGTGGGGTCTTATGGTAAATGCGTGTTTAGTTTTATAAGAAACTGCTAGAATGATTCCTAGAGCCTTACTATTTTACATTCCTAGCAGTATTGTATAGAAGATCCTATTTTCCACAGCTTTGCTAACATTTGGTATTACTATTTTATATTTTACCCATTCTAATGAGTACATAATCATAGCTTATTGTGGTTTTTATTTGCATTACTCTAATTAGGTAATGATATTGAACATCTGTTCATGTGCTACTTTGCCATCTGTATGTCTTCTTTGGTGAGATTCTCTTCATGTCTTTTGCTCGTTTTCTAATTGTATCATTTGTTTTTTACTGTTGAGTTGTGAGAATTTGTTATATATTCTAGATACCAATTATTTGTTGGGCATGTGGTTTGCAGATATTTTCTCCAAATCTGTTGCTTGTCTTTTAATACTCTTAACGGGCTGTATTACAGCACAAGAATTCTTAATTTTGGTGAAATCCAATTAATAATGTTTTTTTCCTTTGTTGTTCAGTCACTAAGTCATGTCCAGCTCTTTGCGACCCCATGGACTGCAGTACACCAGGCTTCCCTGTACTTCGCTCTCTCCCAGAGTTTGCTCAAACTCATGTCCGTTGAGTCGATGATACATCCAACCATCTTATCCTCTGTATCCCCCTTCTCCTCCTGCCCTCAATCTTCCCCAGCATCAGGGTTTTTTTTTTCCAATGAGTCAGCTCTTTGCATCAGGTTGGAGCTTCAGCTTTAACTTCAGTCCTTCCAATGGAATATTCAGGGTTGACTTCCTTTAGGATTAACTGGTTTGATCTCCTTGCAGTCCAGGGAACTCTCAAGAGTCTTCTCCAGCACCACAGTTCAAAAGCATCAATTCTTCAGTGCTCAGCCTTCTTTATGGTCCAGCTCTCACATCCATACATGACTACTGGAAAAACCATAGCTTTGCTATTTGGACATTTGTCGGCAGAGTGATGTCTCTGTCTAGGTTTGTCACAGCTTTTCTTCTGAGGACCAGAAGTCTTTTAAATTCATGGCTGCAGTCACCATCAGCAGTGATTTTGGAGCCCAAGAAAATAAAATCTGCCACTGTTTCCGTTTTTTCCCTATCTGTTTGCCATGAAGTGATGGAACCAGATGCCATGATCTTAGTTTTTTGAATGTTGACTTTTAAGCCAGCTTTTTCACTCTCCTGTTTGACCTTCATCAAGAGGCTCTTTAGTTCCTCTTTGCTTTCTGCCATTAAAGTGGTATCATCTGCATATCTGAGGTTATTGATATTTCTCCTGGCAATCTTGATTCAAGCTTGTGCTTTGTTCAGCCTGGCATTTTGCATGATACACTCTGCATATAAGTTAAATAAGCAGGGTGACAGGATACAGCCTTGATGTACTCATTTCCCAATTTTGAATCAGTCCATTTTTCCATGTCCACTTCTAACTGTTGCTTCTTGACCTACATACAGGTTTCTCAGGAGACAGGCAAGGTGGTCTGGTATTCCCATCTCTTTAAGGATTTTCCACAGTATGTTGTGATGTATGTTATGGTTTTTGGTCTTAGATATTTTCAGCAAGACTGAGGTCTCAAAGATTTTCCTCATGTTTTCCCACTAAAAGTTTTATAGTTTTATATTTTATGCCTAAGTCCATGTTTCATTTTTAGTTAATTTTTGTATCTGATGTCAGGTTCAGATTGAAGGGTTTTTTTTTTTTTTTGGCCTGTGGATGTTCCATTGTTCAAGCACCATTTTTAAAAAAAGGTATTCTTCTATTGAAATTTTTTACACCTTTGTCAAAAATCAGTTGGGTATATTTGTGTTGGTCTGTTTCTGGGTTCTTTCTTTGTTTCCTCTGACCTGTGTCTCTCATTCCTCTAATATCCCACTGTCTCAATTTGCTATATCTATATAATAAATCTTATCATTAGGTAGAGTGATTCTTCTCAGTTTATTCTTTTTCAAAATTGTTTTAGCTATCAGAGTTACTTTGAATTTCCTCACAAACTTTAAAATAAGCTTCTCTATATCTATGAAAAATCTTGTATGTGTGTGTGTGTGTACTCAGTCATATCCAACTCTTTGTGACTGTAGTCTGCTAGACTCCTCTGTCCATGAGATTTCCCAAACAAGAATACTGGAGTGGGTTGTCATTTCCTACTCTACGGGACCTTCCCAACCCAGGGATTGAACCCACATCTCCTGAGACTCCTGCATTGGTAGGTTGATTCTTTACCACTCAGCCAACTGGGAAGCCCTGTAAATGCTTTACAGGTATTTAATATTCTGATGAGTGCACTGTTGTTGTTTATTGACTAAGTCATGTCTGACTCTTTGTGACCCCATGGACTGTAGCCCGCCAGGCTCCTCTGTCCGTGGGATTTCCCAGGCAAGAATACTGCAGTGGGTTTCCATTTCCTTCTCTAGGGGATCTTCATGACCCAGGGATGGAACCCACATCTCCTGCATTTCCTGCCTTGGCAGGCAGATTTTTTTTACCACTAAGCCACCTTGTACTAATTGCTTTAAACCTAGAGATCACTTTGGGGAGAATTGATGTCTTTACTATATTAAGTCTTTCAGTCAATGAATGCTGCATGTCTCTCTGAAAGGTTGCTGCTGAACCAAAAAAAAGACGCCAGGATTCTTGGCCTCCAAAGGAGAAGAATTCAATCTGGGGCCAGAGACAAGGCTTGATCACTCAGAGCTTTTGTGTAATAAAGTTTTATTAAAGTATAAAGGAGAGAGAGAAAGCTTCTGACATAGACATCAGAAGGGGGCAGAAAGAGTGCCCCGCTGCTAAAGACTAACTGGATATTATATAGCTACTAGCAGTCTGCTAATTAGAGAAGGAAATGTCTCAAAACTCAGAGAATATCACCAGAGCCCTCACCCACAACATGCATTGAGATAACATTGGCACCAGGTGAGTCATCCTGGACCATGAAACGATTGACATAAATCTTGAAGAAAAGCAGATTTCCAAACAAATATATAGTTTCATTAACATAGATTAGGAGAACAATGTATGAGTATAACATACTGGTTTGTCAAGTCGGTTCTGAGCCTTTCAGTTCAGTTCAGTTCAGTCGTTCAGTCGTGTCCGACTCTTTGTGACCCCATGAATCGCAGCACACCAGGCCTCTCTGTCCATCACCAACTCCTGGAGTTTACTCAAACTCATGTCCATCGAGTCGGTGATGCCATTCAGCCATCTCATCCTCTGTCATCCCCTTCTCCTCCTGCCCCCAATCCCTCCCAGCATCAGGGTCTTTTTCCAATGAGTCAACTCTTCACATGAGGTGGCCAAAGTATTGGAGTTTCAGCTTCAGCATCAGTCCTTCCAATGAACACCCAGGACTGATCTCCTTTAGGATAGACTGGTTGGATCTCCTTGCAGTCCAAGGGACTCTCCAACACCACAGTTCAAAAGCATCAATTTTTCGGCACTCAGCTTTCTTCACAGTCCAACTTTCACATCCATACATGACCACTGGAAAAACCATAGCCTTGACTAGACAGACCTTTGTTGGCAAAGTAATGTCTCTGCTTTTTAATATGCTATCTAGGTTGGTCATAACTTTCCTTCCAAGAAGTAAGTGTCATGTTAATTTCATGTCTGCAATCACCATCTGCAGTGATTTTGGAGCCCAAAAAAATAAAGTCTGACACTGCTTCCACTGTTTCTTCATCTATTTCCCATGAAATGATGGGACCAGATGCCATGATCTTAGTTTTCTGTATGTTGAGCTTTAAGCCAACTTTCACTCTCCTCTTTCACTTTCATCAAGAGGCTTTTTGTTCCTCTTCACTTTCTGCCATAAGGGTGGTGTCATCTGCATATCTGAGGTTATTGATATTTCTCCCAGCTATCTTGATTCCAGCTTGTGCTTCTTCCAGCCCAACGTTTCTCATGATGTACTCTGCATATAAGTTAAATAAGCAGGGTGACAATATACAGCCTTGACATACTCCTTTTCCTATTTGGAACCAGTCTGTTGTTCCATGTCCAGTTCTAACTGTTGCTTCCTGACCTGTATATAAGGTTTCTCAAGAGGTGGGTCAGGTGGTCTGGTATTCCCATCTCTTTCAGAATTTTCCACAGTTTATTGTGATCCACACAGTCAAACGCTTTGGCATAGTCAATAAAGCAGAAATAGATGTTTTTCTGGAATGCTCTTGCTCTCTCAGTGATCCAGCAGATATTGGCAATTTAGGTGGAACCGAATTGAAGACAGAGTCTAGGATAAATACATAGTACATAAACATAGCTTAAGACAAACATTTCCATAAGAAAAATGCATTGGTTAGCTCAAGGTTTGAGAAAACTCAAGTTCAGGTGAAACCAGGTGTCATTATGGCAACACAGAATTTTAAGAGAAATCTCTTTTTCTTTGTATAAAGACGGGAAAAATGCAACACTACTTTGTTTCCTACTGCAGTTTAAGAGAGAGAAAAAAAAAATGTCTGACACTTGCAGCTTATTTCCTCGCTTTGGAGACCCCTGGCCTTCCTATCTGTTATCCTCTCATCTCCATTCATTTAAATCTTTGCTTTTTTGCTTGCTTGCTTTCATCAGTTTGGCAGGAAGGGATATAGTTATAAAACTGCTAGGTTCTCAGTGGCTTAAGCTATGTAAACCCTGTAGCCTTAGTTGCCTCCTTTGTGGTGACAGCTCCCTCATAAGGTTATGACGAGGATTTAAAGAGACATTGCAAAAAAAATAAAATAAAATAGACATTGCTGGTGTAAGTCCTGCCTCTGACATGTTTATTTTCCTTCTTATTGATCCTGCTTTTAGCTGTTGGGTCTCTCACATCCTGTCTGTTAACCCACATGGCAATAATAGTGGGACTGACTTCCAAAGGGTTGTTGTGAGAAAGTAATGTGAGAATTGAAGTAAAACACTAAAGGGACTGCCAGATACAGAGTAAGGGCACCATGAGCAGTGGTTGTATTAATATTATATGAATGTAGGGAGGTAAAACTGTAATTTCTCCCTGATAGTTTCACTGAAAGAAACTGTTGACAGAAATCAAGTATGGAGTCCAAAGACCTGCCAGCACAAGGCAGGTTGCAGGATCTTGCTGATGGTTTGGGAGAATGTAGGAAGTTCATCTCAACACAGCAGACAACATGAAAGAAAATCTCAGAGCCAAGTGCCTGCTATAACCTGATTTTTATATATTTGTTTTAGTGTAAAAGCAGATCTGGAAGAACATAGACCAGACTAAACTGTGGGGAATCAGATTAGCTTTTACTTTTACTTTGTTCCTTTCTGTATTTGAAAGCTGTTTTATTTTAATTGAGCATATGCTACACTGAATAATGTTAAAACAAATTATTTATTTAAAGGCCAGCCAATAAATCAGCCAATCAGCAAATTACACAAATGAATCTCAGGGCGGTTTCACTCACACTTCTCTTCCATTCAGAAGCTTGCTGCCTGGCTCTTGAGCTCCTGGCCTCCTTGGCTTAGCAGCTCCCATTTCCCAGAGTTCCTTCTACAGAGAAGTAAAGCTGCTATCCAGGCCATCTCAGCTGGATCCAGAGAGCCTCACTCCCTTCCCCAGCTAAACAAGCATCCCTGCAGATGTGTTCCTAAGCAAAGACAGTTCCTGTTCTAAGAGGAACTATTTGGTTAGCTCTTAAAGGAGTTTTAATCTCACCCTCTTCTACATGGGTAAAGGAGCATAAGGCTACTGAGTTTAATAAAGTTCCCTGTGAAGAGGCTGAGAGAGAGGGCTTAGGTAATCCGTCTACAAGCCTGTTCAGAAAGTTTGGAGAGAAATGTTTGATGCAGTTGTAATGGTATTCTGTGGCACAGTGCTTAAAATGCACTGGGCACTCTTTAAAGCTTTGCAAATGCTCACACATTTCATTCTTACCACAACCCTTTGAGGGTTATTACTCCAGTTTACCAATGAGGAAGGTGAAGCACAGAGCACAAATTCATACAATTTGTAATGAAAAGAGCCTGGGTTTCAAGACTGTGCAAATCATGTCCCTCCTCTCTTGATCGATCTGCCCAATCCCTCCATATGGAACCTGACTGGCCAGTTTTATACAAAGTACAATATTCATATTGGAATCACAGTGTCACTACTCAAAGAGCTCAGACAGTGCCCAATCACCCAGCCAGTACCCAACTCCCAAAAGCTAGATTCAAGAATATAGTTTAGTCAGTACAGTGTAGCAACATGTCCTGCTTGAAACTAAATTTCTGATTATCTTCTTTTTCATCCATATGTTATTGAGGGTAGTTGCATTTTCACAAAAGGGGGATGTAGGGTAGCCAAACAAATTTCTCATTCAAGAAAATGCAAGTGAGATCATCCTTTTCTTTTAGTTGAGTACCTCAAGATGTGATATTTAGCTAAGGTGATGGTAAAACGGTTGGAACTTGTGGATCTAGAAGTCTACAAAAACCTGTGACTGTCTTGAGGCTGCATTCTGCCATTGGTCTTCAGCCAGAGAAGTGCCTGAAACTGCTGGAAATGGATAATTAAACATGTAGAACTGAATGATAATGAAAGATCTGAGTTTCAGCCAAGCTTGTAGAATATACCTCAAACAGTACTCAAAAGCAAATTTAAAGCCAAAGAGTGTATGTTTTAAATGAAGACTGCAAAAGAGACTGAAAATATATGCAGCATATGTCCAATATAATAATTTAGTTAAGATATAACTAAATTTAGTTAAGATATAACTGGTAAAGATAAGAGTAGAAATCAGTGAAGTAGAAAACAATAGAAAAGTCAGCTAAATCAAATTTGTCCAAAAGACATGTAAACTTCTAGAAAAATCTACTGAGAATAAACAGAAAATTTTAAAAAACATATTCCAAATGCCACTAGATTATACACTTAAAATGGGAGATTTTATGCTATATGCATTTTACCCCAATAAAAATATTCAGAATGGAAAAGGGGGTAAGTATGGATAGAGTACAGAAGAATCATATAATTTGATATGATATTTAGTAAGTGCTGTAAAAATAACCCATTAAAAATATGAAGGATTATAGATGAATCAAGATGCAAAAATGTTGATAATTCTTGAAGCTGGGTGATGGGAAATGGGGGTTCATTATACCATTCACTCCACCTTTGTGTGTATTTGAAAAGTTCCATTAAAAAAGTTTAGATACAACTCCCCAAACTATTTGAAAGTTTAGGTAATTTTGTGATTTCTTAGAGCTAATTGGCATTTAAATATTACATGTTAAAGTCTATAGTAGCTCAGGGCTAAAGAGTCTTATGGGCACATTAAGAAATGAGGAAAGTTGATGATTAAGATTCCCAAAACATCACACTTTACTTCACCACCAACTAGTCAAAAGCAAGTCATTGAGCTGTAGGCCTTACCCCAAGTGTTGCCTTTAACCATTCCCTGCAAGCCACTGGGAAGTTCAGTCTTTGACCATGAGGTGCCCGTTTTCCTTGCATGGTTCCCTGCAATAAACACTGTACTTGTATCACAACCAGTGTTGGTAGATTGGCCTTGCTGAGTAAGTGAAGAGCATGGAGACTTGAGTTTGGTATCATTAGTACTGTTTAAATAATGTTTAAAAAACAGTGTCGGAGATTCATATTTGAGTTGTAAAGCTCTAAAGAAAAGCCATAAAATAATTATAATAAAAGTAATAGCTATAACTATCATGAGAGAGGTTTCCTTTAGGGGAGTCAACAGGCTGCGGTTTTACAGTGGCTCACAGGGATTTTAGGAGTTCTGGTAATGTTTTATTTCTTGATCGTTATGGTGGTTTGCTGTACAATAATTTATTAAGGTGTATATTTACATTTTATGCTTTATATATTTTTTTCCCTCTTAAATAAGAATGTTTTAGAACCTGGAGATAATATTAGGATCTATATCAGGGCTTATTATGAGAATGAAATGAAGCCATGTAGGGCTCTTAGAATATGCCTGGTACTGTGTAAGACCTTAGTAAATGTTAGCTATCTACAATAAAAGTTTGCTATTTTTGTTGTTTTATTATTTGTTGCTAGTATTTCTCAGCTTGCTGTTAGTCTTTTATTTCTGCCAGTGCTATCTTTTGTTATTGGCCTTTACTGTATAATTTCTTTCATCACTGTTAACCATAGAAAGTCTTCTGTAGTCCAGAGATTTAATAAATATTTATTTTCTTGCAATTTTAAGTGGTGTTGCTTTTGAACATTTGATTCTGTTCATTCCCTTCATAACAACAATATATTAAAAATAATATGCATAATATCTGCATTTATTTCTCAAATTTATCTGGAATTCATATTTAATGTCATGGTAGAAAGAAAACAGATCTTTTTTCCAATCAGGTAATTAAGTCCCCCCAGCACCACTAATTGAACAATTCATCTCTCCCCCACTGACTTCTGTGGCTTTCACCTCTTGCATATATTAAATTTACAACCATTTGCACTTAAAACATAGAAATGGTATGTGACAATACAACTGAAGGAGGGGGAGGGGATGTTGCCAGGCAGCTGCAACCTGGAGAGAAAGAGAAAGAAAGGTAGAAAAGTCTTTTTTGTGTCAAAGAAAGATTCCTTAAAGATCCCATCCCTGAGTGTGACACATAAGCCATTTGCTCTTATGACGTTTGGCTAATCACTTCCTGTGCGTTGCCCTCAGTCTCCTCATGTGTCATGCATAGTGACAGCATCTACATCATATAGGATGGTACCTGAGAGCTAACCTGAGTAAGCTTTGGAGTCAGCCAGCCAGGAGTATCATCCGTGGTTCATCATGAACTAGCTGCATGATCCTAGGTAATTTCCTACCTTTCTGGCTTGTTTCCTCATATGTGGCGTGCATGCATACTCAGTTGCTCAGTTGTGTCCAACTCATTGTGACCCCATGGACTGTAGCCCGCCAGGTTCCTCTGTCCATGGGATTCTCCAGGCAAGAATACAGGAGTGGGTTGCCATTTCCTTCTCCAGAAATATGTGGCAGTTAATAGTAATT